CAACCGATTTGATGAGCAACTTAACTCATAATGCATCCACTGTCAACGTCTAGTAATGTTACGAAGTTCCAGGACTGCAATACAGAGCCGACGGATGTGACAGTCCCATCAAAACCAAGTGTTTGAGGAACTTTCAACACCGAGAATAGGGAAACCCCGGGTTGTGATGATATAAGACCGGCAGTCCTAAGGAAGTGTGCAAAAGTGCTGGGCATACCAACACGCAACTTGTTCACGCACTCGTTGGAAGTAAGTCGACTCTTTGAAGAATGGAAACGTGCTATCCTTTCATTAGCCTTCTAGGGAGGAGACCGATAAAACCGGTGCAACTACAGACCGGCAGCATCGCCTCCCATATTATCCAATGTACTGGAAAGCATTGTCGCAGATATTGTTTGAGACCGCCTAAGCGGAATCGATGTCATCCATCTCACCCAGTATCGCTTCAGAGCCGGATGGCTATGTGCCACGAAACTGACGACCGCTTGGGATGGCCGGACCACTGGGTGAGACAAAAGCAACCAGTCCACGCTATCTTACTGTACCTGACCAAAGCTTTCGATAGAGTCACACACAACACCGTGCTCGCGAAACTTGAAAAAAGGCTATCACTGAACCACCCTTATCATGGTTTATAGCGTATTCAGGAGACAGAGAATTCTGTAATAAAGTGAAGAGAATTTGATCGGCCCGGAGGAATACAAGAAAGTGAGTTTCTCGAAGAGCGATCCTTGGGTCACTCCCACTTTTACCATTCATCACTAATCTTCCCGATAAAATCTATCCATTTATCCTCTTATTTGTCGATGACATCAGAATATGGAGGACAATAATAATAGTAATATATTTCGTACAAAATAAGTTACATGAGAACAAACCAGTTTAAAGGTTTGATCATTTTGGTAATGTGACCTGACTGTTATGTACAATATCAAGCTGTACAATAGACGCCGTTCTTTTCGGTACATAAAAGATGCGTCTAGAGTAAGAACGTTAATACTTTGCAGACAGCCAAGAATGAAGCAGATAGACACCAGCATAACTGTTCATCAGACTGAGGCAAGCTCAGTTCGAAAGTAGGAAATATTCGGATATTGTTTGAATCTTCCAATATTCTTGAGGGTATGGCGGGTAGTACAGCTGTGACCTTGGGCTTTATGCTTTCGTCATGAGGTCCAGATGGCATAGTGCACGCTGACAAATTAGGCCACCAGGTTTCCGTATGGATGAAGGACTGGTAGGGTAAACCGGAAAAATGAATAACAAAAGAGGACAGCAGACGAAATTCGAAACAGGAGCACAGAAATACTACGCAGAAGTACATCGACCATGATACATGCTGGTGAGTTCATTGTACTGACTACGAAAGTTACCTGAAGGGGTACCCAAAACCTACTGTTTATAGATAAGCTTATGGGGAGGATGAAGGTGCATACGAAAGTGGCGGAAACTAAACTGGGACCGAAGATATCAATACAGAATAAAGAGAATAGAAGTTTTTGGACCAGGTATTCACTCATGTGTAGAAAACCTATGCACGAAAAATTAATGAAGCTATAAACATTTAAATAGAACTCATGCTTTTTGCTGTGATGGTAATCACACTTTATATAGTCATGGGGGAGGCATGATTATGGTGTTGCCTGTTGAGTGTTACCATATCAGTACTATATAGACAATATGGTAGTGCATGGTGAGCTGAGCTAGTAGAACTGGAGGACTTTTTTGGTAACCTCATTCTTTTTGCCATTATTTTGTCGTCATAAGTACAAGAGCCGTAGGTTTCATAAAGATAGGGCCGTAGAGGCAACGGCAGCTCAAGTAAGGAAGGGGACCCTAGGATATTCGAAGAAAATCTGTTGCATCTGGAGTCCTCGTCAGTTGCCAACAGTTTAAGCTTTAACCAGGAAAAATGTAAGGCGATGTATCTTTGCACACCAGAAGTGATGGAAACCAGCTACACCAGCAACAAGTGTGCCGTCACCGAGGCATCCGCAGAGGATGACAGTAGGAACCAGTATCAACCATGAGGGGGTGACAGCAAAGGCGAACACCATCATGCACTTCCCAAGGAGGTAGCTTGGAGTGCTAACCTCAGAATTATTCTCCACGGTATTTAAAACCTACATCAGACCACGCTTAGAGGTTTTCAACATGATGGGCCCTCCTCTACTAAAGGGAGACTCGATTACCCTCAGGAGGGTATAGGGAAGGTCAAGAAAATCGGTTGCGTGACTGATGGGAAGGACATATGCACAAAGCCTCAAGTAACTGAACCTATTGACATCAAACTATGGAAGGAAAAAAGGCGAACAAATGGCAGCCCACAAGATCATTCACCAAGTAAGTCAACAAAATGGGTCGACATTATCGGCCAAAGGCAAACAGTCTCACGGGAACCTAACTTGCATGCCCCTCATAGGGCAGAGACGAGGGTGGGATCAAACTTCTTGTCACACAGAACATTTGCCTTGTGGAGTGGTTTGTCAAGGGAAGTAGCCACAGCAACATCAGTTGACCCCTTCAAATGGCTGCTGGATAAGTTCATGAGCGCAGACGGCTCACCACGAACATCCGTTGGTAGCAACTGAAGACAAATTCACCCTCCCGCCGTATTCTCCAAGCATAGCATCTGCAATAACGTGCATCCCCTCTCCTATTACTGCCAGCAACAATTATTTTCCCATAAGTACTTTTCACCCCACTTTTTCCCATTCGCCACTCACTACATTTGTACCACATTTTAAGTAAAGCTAAATGCTTTCTTGCAGGCACTTACAAAAGCAGGAAACACAAAGCGTCAATTGTTATTACCAGCAGCTCTGTTGCTTCCCGAACAAATCAAACCATAATTTTCTAGACAGTTCTGCACAAAAGCCAGCAGAGTTTCCTCGACTTGGAGGACATCATCATCTGGTGTATCACAAGGAGCTATTCTAGGTCCGCTGCCTTTCCTTCTACTTACGGTGGACCTCCCGCTGAATCTCGGCTCCCTAATTCTACTCTGCGTTGATGATGTTAAGCCAAGGAGAGCTGTGAAGTCAGATACAGAATCAGGTCCACTGCAAAGCGATCCCAGATTATTTGCAGAGCGGGTGGATATTAATGGACTAGCACTCAATCTGGATAAGTGCCGAGCCATGTTTCTCCGCACCCCAGACCCTCAGAAGGTACCTTGTTCTTTCTGTGGGATACAACTTTCCCACACCACCACGTGAGGGAGATCTAGGACTAATAGTGACTGACAAGCTAGACACTAGCTCCATAAATTCAGGAGACGCCTCCAAAGCTCACGCAGTAGTGCACCTCATGCACGGACAAATAGGTGCCATGACCCCGGAACTGTTTTTGAAGCCGTGCAGGACCTACACACGACCTCGCTTGGGGGTCCACAACTTCATTGCACCACCATATCTGAAAAGAGATGTGAATCTCCTAGAGAAAGTCCAGAGGAGAGCTGTAGAAGGTAACGTGTGGATGAGGCCAAAACCATATCAGGACCGGCTGAAAGATCTGGGACCCTACTCTCTAAGCCACTGCAGATTACATAGTGGCTTGATAACGGCTTACGAAATACTAGGTAACCCAACCCACCTGAACAGTGGAATCCTACCGAACCGCCACCGTGGCGACTTCGTGGCAACTCAAGGAGAATCGCCTATCAAGGGGCAAGAACCCGTCTGCTATCACACTTTTTCTGTCTGCGAGGTCATGGCAACTGGAACGACTGCCTGCCGAGGTTGCTACTGCTCCGTCTGCTGACAACCTGAAGAAGAGGTTGGATGGTCATGCAGCGACGCACGGTTTGCGCTCATTCAGCTGGGATATCGACTAGGTTGACATGGCCTACTAACTCACCATGGCTAACCCATTATCGAGTACTATCACTGGGAACCTGGCTCAACCTTATGCTTCCGTAAAGACATCCACTCCAGTTACCGTCTTTTACTAATAGAACAACTGCCTCTATTCCAATCCGTCCATGATGTTATTTGCTCCTCTTCCCACTGACTTAACGTTTCCCTTTTCCTAATCGTCTTTTTTCTTTTCTTTTTCTTTAGACTTCCTCTACCTCAGTCTTTCCGGACATATTTCCCATCTCCTTTTTGCAACCGCCCGACCAATTGTCTGCTGGTGCGACACTTGAGGAACCCATCTGTACAGCAGTCCTTGCAAAAAACCGAAACTTCTCATAAATTTAACCAACACCTAACCGCCAGCCAGAGCTACAGCAGTCAAATGGTTCAAATGGAATAGAATAAGATTTCGCTTAACTGGCTTCCGCGTGTGCAATCCGTAGAGTAGGTAGACCTACTGCATCGGAATACACCAGACGCTTGGAACCGTTCCGCAAACCTAGAAGCGAGCGCAAAGAAACCAACTGGTTTGCACTAGCTCGCGAAAAGATATTGGATATGAGATATCGGAAATAGACAATCACTGCCTCCAACTCCTTCCCTTTTCTCTTCCCTATATTATTATTTTTTCCCCTCCTTTTTTCATTTTTTTCTTTATTCTCTCTTCATTCCTTTACCACTACCTTACTATTCTCTTTCAAGTACCTACACAGACAGGAGTCACGACAGTTCTCTAAACTTCCCAGCAACCCGTAGCTCCCTAATCACTCTACAAATTACAACCTACTAACCCACAAAACATCCACCTCACCGAAGCTAAAAGCAAGAAAGCAGAGGGTATTTCCTCGTCTACTGCGGGAGTGAACCGAACAACTCGGACCAAGCCCTAATTACCAGACGCGAGGGATCAAAAACTAAGAGTTTTCTACGCTCTCACTATCAATATTGGATATTGAACTGTGTAAGCAGTTAAAAAGTAAAGACTTCTGTGACCGCCGCAAGAGTATAACCGAGAAAGAGGGTCGAGCCTCAAGACCTAGAAGTGAGAGCTCAAGAACCACGAGTTTCATCTACTTGCAGAATTGGTGTTGTTTATTGGATGTGTCCGATGGCCTTCGCGTATATATGTAATTTTTGTTAAATATGGGTTCGGAAGCACTGGTTGGTCTTGACCTTGTTTTCACTGGTGATATTTTTTCACAGTATTCTTCTGCTCTGTCCTCTGGGTAATTAAAGTCAGTTTCGAATATTGGAGCTAGGTTTTCGTTTCTTTGTGTGGATTTATTCCATCCTAAATTAGTATCTGAGGGGAAATCAAGTTCTGGTCCTATACCGCGCTCTGACCTGGTATATGAAAAAGATGGTAAGAAACATCTTCTTCTTTCTGAGACTCTAGGCAAAAGCATCACAAAGTCGCTGGTTGGTAAGGTTTCGACATCTATTGATGTAGATTCCGATATCATGCCAATTCGCATATCTAGTTCTCAAACCCTCATGAAAGAACTTAGTTGGGCTGCACACCTTGGCTTACCTGCTGTCAGTATCAGAGTAAACCGTCCAACCAATCCCAATTTGGCGCGATTGCTTGTAAATTTCATACGTGGTGAATACATTCCTATTAAGGTACTTGCTTTGATGTAAATAACGCTTTAAAAGATATGGCTGGTGTTTCCAATGACAAATGATTTCACCAGCACAGCTAAAGGTGAGTTATATTCTTATCATCTTACGAATTTTGTAAAACAACCGACTTGCATGCACTATGAAGCTAAAAATCTACACGAAGATGGAAATTATCTCAGTGATACTGAATAGTAAAAAATGAGCTAGGACTTTGGTTTATTTTTAGACATATTTTAGTTTATTTAGGCTTATGACTGACAAAGTTGGGACGGAAAAAATGTGAAGGAATAGCATTTGCTACTTTTCATACTATCCAACTGACAACTGCTACCTATAGGTAGTAGTCGAGATTGCATATCATAATACCCCAGTGATCTATTATGCCTGTCACGCTTGTTCTCTCGAGTTCCTACCATGTCAGAAAAGGTGTGTTGGATTGCGGTTAGACAAAGTGATTACTGCCATGGTATTAATTGTTATGCTATGACGGGCTCCGAAAGCGAAGTCGTAGGGCTGGCTAGATGGGGTGTGATAGCAGTGGGGAGTCTCCCGAGCATAACCATTAATACCATGCTGAGGCTGTCTGCCGTATGGGAAAGGCGATGAAGTAAAGGTTCGCATCCCAAGTAGCACAGTCCTCCCTGCCCTGCCGCATTTTGTTACCTGCGGTATGGGTTCTTCTTACCCAGCTGTAATGTCTCATCGGCTTTTCAACCACGCAAGTCTGTTGCTTTTTATTGTTAAGCTGTCCCACAGAAAAAACTTGCACGTAATGCGTAGCTAGACAATGCCAAACACTCACATGTTTCCAGTATTAAACAAAACCTAGTTACTTCTAGGGTTTGTAGAGGTTTATTTATTTACTTCAGGTTGGTATTCATCGTGGACTGACATCAGCCGGAAACCTGGGAGTACTGAACAGCTGTTTCTTCCAGTGCTTCCTGGTTTCCAATGTTTCTCCAATTGATGTCAGTCCACGACGAAAAGCAACCTGAAATTAAAACCTAATCAAACGTAACTCATTCTCCTTACATCTGTCTCCTCCGTTTCTTTCAACTGATACCAATATTAAATCTCTTAATTCTTTCTCAACCATTTATAACGATCCAAGCCAGAAAAAATTCCCTATCTAAAACCCAGCTGTCGATTTCATATCTGAGTACTCAACGTCCGGACTACGTACCAAACGGGAAAACGCATTTCTTGCGAAAACTGTAGAATATTTAGCCATAGATGCACGCTGTGTGTCTGAGACACGTATAGAAAGTTTGAGTATAGTCATTTACTTGATCCTATCTGACCAACGTGATGAATCTTCAAAATTAACTTTATAAATGTCCGTAGATCCAACGGCTAGCTCTCATGAACTTAGTGTAAGTGTAGCATTACTTTCTCAATCAGAAGGGATATTTGGCTGGAGACAATTCAGCTGCGGTCCGTGTGCTGTTCGACTGAATAAACCTATAGACTTGGAAGAGGCATGAGTTCTACCGATGCCTATTCATAGTCTTCATCTGCGTGAGTCCACTCGCTGACTTCAGTTTGGGTTGTGCAAATGATAAATTCTATCGAAAGCTATCATTTTTGCTTGAAAGCAAAACGTTCGAATATAGTTATAATTGCAAGTGACTTCATCCATCCAAATCGACAGAGGACCAGGCATTACTGCATAACGGTCCGAGTTGCCACATCTCATATCAGTACATCAAGTAAAAGGGCAATGAAGTGGAGGATGAAGAAAACGAAATTCAATCAAAGGAATTATAAAGTACTAAAAGAGGGAAAAGGAGAATGAAAAAATGGTGACTTCAACATTCAGATAGGAAAGCTGAGCCAGTTGGAAAGGCGTCTTGAGGATAACTACGGAATCTCATATCGACGGACCGATAACAATGATCGCCCGTCATAGTTTTGTTCTGATAATCACATTACGTATATATCTGCATCTTACTAGTCGTAGAAAACGCGTCGCTGAAGCCTGTATGTTATCAAGCTGAAGATGAAAACATTGAGTGTGTAGTTAGGGAGGAGATAGCTAACCATTTACCTGAAAGTGGTAGTATTTCTCATCCTGAGGAAACCTGTCATGACGTTGTCTGCTGTAGAAATGGACTTAAGGACAGCTGGTAACCTACATCCAAAGGTTAGCAAAATGTAGTGAATTTCTTCAACGTAATTCGAACTGGTTGATGGGAAAAGACTGATTCCAGTTGCCTTTCATCATAATGATGAGAGAAAACAGCTGGAACTTTAATTGACCAAGAGCCTTCACAATGATTGCGAGCAGTGGTTGATAGAGAAAGCCAGGGAGATAAAGAAGGCATCAGTTTTCAGAATTTAAACCCACCAAAGAATATATATATATATATATATATATATATATATATATATATATATATATATATATATATATATATATATATATATATATATATATATATATATATATATATATATATATGCATCATCTCAATATCCATCTCTTCGTGTTCGCCTTCGGTGGCCTTTAGACGCACTGATGGAGCTAGTCTATTTTAAAACCAATCAAAAACAATCATGGAGACCTTATTAGGTTAAGAACAGATCTCAGACTTAACTTATCTTTATGACAAGAAAATCGTGCATCAAAATGCATGAAAACAACGAATTACTCTACAGCATAATGTTTTTAGGTGAGTGGGTCTTCTACTGATTAGAGTTTTGAATAGGATTGCACGCTGTGATTTTCAACACTAATTATAATCCTTTATGTTCTAATTCCTAATCCTCCTAAATCGGCGTTCATTGAATGAGCAGCATTTAAGACAATTATTGCATGCCCCTACATGGTATTATGTAGCAAATTATAAGCACCTAGTGTTGTAACGCCTCTACAGAGTCAAATTTAAGACAGCTGATGTTTATCTTGTACTGCGTTGAAACTTATTGATCAGGACAGTCTTTTCCTCCTTCTGGCGTTGATTTGCATTATTTCATCACGTTTTAGTTACACTATTTCACATATAGGGTTACTTCTACTCCATTTTCTAATGCGGTTTATTTTGACAGATGAAAAGGGAGACAAGGAATCAGTCTCAGAATCATCACTTTCATCACCTTGGCATTGGTGGTTGCATCTGTCTACCATGACTGCTGATATCATAGATGCTCTTGGTATCGTGCTTGAGCTGCCGAATGATTTGCCTGATGAGTTAGTAATTTCGAGGTGGTTCAGCGAACCTATAGTTTGTCTGTTGATCCGTACAGACCTATTTTTGACGAATGCTAAAGGTTACCCTGTATTACCAAAAAGTCATCAACATATCATTCATCGTTTCTTCAAGGTGAGCGTGAATTTTCATATTTTCTCCTCTTCCTTAAACAAACCTGTTTAGTTTACTAGTTTCAAATGATCTCACTTCAGTTCGTATTTATTCTCAACAGAACTTAGCAGTGCCACTGTTAGTAATTCCTTTTCACATAACGAAAAAGCCACACCAGTCTCACGTTAATTTGAGCCACAGTACATATGTACATGTCTGTGTGTGTTATTTAATGTCGTTCAAAAACTGTGGTAGATAGTTGTTTGGTATCAAAAATGATGATCAACATAGCCTAAGTGAAATAGTTTTCCACACTTGCCAGAAAATGACTAGCAGCCATTTATGCTCAAAATATTGGCTTCCCAAGAAATTGTTTTTACTAGACAGAGCAGTTAATTACGCTACTTATAAATCGAGCCTACTTTGAATAGAAATTGTGATTTTTAGGTCATAAAACAAGGGTTAGTTTTTCGAAAAATATTGTGGAGAGGAGAGGGGTGTAAAAAAGGACATTAAAGTCGATCATAACCTATGCTAGAGACGAAATAAATGAATCCTGGTTTCAAAACCACGGGAAACCTGTTGTCCCAAATCAAATGAAACACGTGTCCTAGGTTCCACTGCTAGCCACCAATTAAACTACAACTCTTGTACTCCTATCAGTGTAATAAAAACCAGATAAACAATGACGTACTTTTATTCTTAACTTGTTAGATTCTATTCCAGACTTCAGGTTTTCCGAATACAAACTTTTATTATCTCAAGAACTTCAGACAGAAAGTCAACAATTCTCTAATAGTAAAGAACAGGAACTGAAGTAAGTGAACAAATGAAGAGCTTTTGGCAATCAGTCATGACTTTTCAATAGTTGTCAATGAAATCTTTACCTTACTATGGATTTTCTTAATGTGGGACTGAAGCTCATAGATTTATGCAGTTACCTTTCAATCATTGGGTCACTAGTTCAAACATAGCCCCACCTACTGAGATCTGGGCACCCAGGTAGCATCACTAGCCCTCACACAGTAGGTGTGACTCATTGCCTACTGCATGAATATGCACAAGGTTGATCAGAGCATCTCGAATAGATTTCGATTTTCTTCACGCGAACGGTTCGTATGCTTCGTCTGCGTCTTCCCTCCAATACAATACTACAATGTCATTGAGAATAAGTTGTTAAGTCGTCACAATTTCTCAGTGAAGCAGATACTAGCCTTTTCACGTGTACACTAAACTGTTTGGATTATCTGCTATCGGGAATTGAAATGCCCTTATGTGTCCGTAAATAAGTGATTTCAACACTACAAAAGAGTAATGCATATCATAGCTGTTTTTTTTGGTGGAAAACACAATTATGAAACGTTTTAAGAAAACTTAATTGAAGTAGGTGGGCATCTACGCCAATACACATAATGATTGTATGCAGAGAATTCCTGACATTATCACAAAGACATTGTTGCCTTATTGTACAATGTATCGTTATGCTAGACATCAGCACTTACACGAATAAGGGAACTAAGTGCATTCAGGTGGAGCTGTGGCTCATCGATCTGGGTACTCGACTTATAACTAACGGGTTCTGGGTTCAAACCTTGCTTCACCTATCGAGGTCTATCATTAACTCTAACAAAATAGGTGTAGATTTTTGTCCGCTGTACTAGCGTGCATGTGACTACTGAGTGTATTTCAACTTTCTCGATTTGACTTACATTCAGTCATTGTTACTAGGATACATTCCCCATTTAGCCAAGAGGACTTACAGAATCTATCAAATAGATGCGAACTTTGTAAGTTATCACGGTGACTTGATAGGAAGAACACATTGTTACTGGAAGTACTTAATGACATACTTTAAAGTCATCTAGGTGAATTTATGTATAAAGGTTACCGTCACCTCTCCCTCAATGCACCTATGAAAACTGAAGAAATTTTCTGCAGTATCTAAACTAGAATTGCTCTGAAGAGGCTTTTGTATGATTATTATATTCTTACATTAGCAGTATATGTCTTCCCCTTCAAAAATTTGAATAATCTCTTAAGGCAATTCTTACGTTAGTTGATTCCAGCCACTTCTATATAGTAAAAGTGATTAACTTCATCGAGTGTCATCTTGCTTTGGACCTTTCACCCTGGGGCCTTTTTCAAGTAAAACGGGACTTAACTACCACCTCACTCGTAAGTAAGGCTTATCAGAAACAAAAAAAATCAACGTAGAACCTCTCACAAAAGTACATCGGACCAGGTTGCTACACTTCACAGCAGCACTGAAAAAACAAGTAGGTAAAAAAGTATGATATGAAAGAAAAAAGCGTTTGAAAGGAAAAGGAATTCGAAGATCAAGGTTAGCGAAAATTTACAGGCTATAAAAGGCGTCAAAGAGTGAATACGTCTGCACCATTGTGACTGGTTTTCAGCCATGTCACCAAGGATCTCCAACCATGGATTCCTGTTATCTCAAAAACCGGTAGTCTTATACCTCAGCTCAAACTAGCAGTCAAAGACTTCATGAAGTGGTGCGTCATCTTGGTCTGACCCATTAGGGCTTCTCCTAACCCTTCTTCTTTTTCGGTTAACATCATGCACTGAGTTAAGCAGTGGTGGCTTGGCATGCGCAACATATGTCCAGGCTACCTCATTCGATGAAGGCTCAAAAACTCAGTGACTTGCTTTCCTCGCCTAGTACACTTTGCCTAACCTTGACATTGCTCAAATTGTCACTCAAGCATACTTCAGGAACGCTGCGAAGGCACATTTAGTCTCTTCATATGCACCTTTAACGACCATTTCCCGCAGTATACTCGTCCTTTGATTGGTGGTCGGATGTTTCACCAGTCGATGCCAGAGATGACGTAAGTTGGCAAGTGCCTAACGGACTTCTGTATCCGAGCTGGGATTTCGTCAGCAACCAACCAGTTAGGACTTTGTCTTGGTATGCGAAACGGACACGTTTTTTTGTGCACATTGATAACCCCATTGACTGACTATCTTTCCCTACTTAGAACTCTAAGCTGAACCCTAACACTGTGGTAAAAAAATCACCTAGTTGGTGTCACAAGCTACTTAGAAAATCGATTCAACTACGTCCTGTGTTACTGCTTCACCTTTTCGGGACATACACACATCTGATACTGCTTTTTCAATTGTTACTAGTTTCTTTTCATTTGAAATTTCTATTTTTCAGCTCAATATACAAATCTTACTAACTGGTGCTTGCCGACACGATAAAGGCTATATAGCTTATCAGCAGTATATTGCATGGCTTTGGAAATCTCAAGATGCTCCCGATCTGTATGAAGAGCAATCAAAAGGATTAGAAGATCAGTTGCAGGTGAGTTTCATAGGAAACTTTACTTCATGTATCAATGACATATTGGCTGGTATGATCATCACAGTGTTTTACTGACACCAAGGGGATAACGAGTAAGTAATTGTAAATGCATTTATATGGAAAAAATCAAGGTTACAGTTTGTACTAATAGGTTAATTCTTACGGCTGCATATAGTTTCCAGTCATTTTGACTGAAGTTAATAGCACAAATTAAGGTTATCTCCGTAACCTAGTCATTAGTTGCGTCAGTGATCAGTTGATTCAGAGACACGACTATCCAAACAGTGGTCTAGAGGTCTTAATTCCGCTTTTTATCGATAACCTTGAAGCGATATAACCTTATACATAAATCTAGCTATAGTTACTTCTCTAGTTGAAATATTTTCTATGTAATTGTTCAATTAAAAATCTTTTCTTAAATTTGAAATGCTCAACATCTTCCTATTTAGATGATGTAGAAATTAGCTCGTTTTCTGTAATCAACGAGATGTTTTGTTCACGTGTCGCTACCTTATAAGAGCTTAGTTATGAGTCGAGCAGTGCCTTTCAAAGATGCGTACGCTTCTCATAGACTTGCTTATGACCTCTCTCTCCCCCTCTCTCTTCTTTATAGGAATTCATGTCATCTCAGGAACACGCAAGCATCATAGCCCTTTTGGGTGAATACACTGAAAATCTCGTATTTACTAAGCTAATGTTTGCATTGTTTGCGTACCATTTTGCTGTTGGTTGTCATATCTTCAGTGTAACTAATTATACGAGACAGATATGTTTTTTGCAGTAAGTTTATATAACTAAGCGGTGTATCGTAGTGAATTGGAGGAAATACAAAAACCGAGTTCTTTCAACCATTTTATTTTTTCCTATAGTAGGGTCGTTAAAGATACCTGGTACTGAAACTAAACCTATGAAGCATTAGATAGTACTGTAAACTTTTACTAACTTAAGAAAACGCAGACCACTTACAATTTCATGTACTCTCTAGTAAGCCGCACCCATTTTGCAAGTGATGTGTAGAACAGCATTTCAACCTTTAATACAGTAAATAGTTGACAGGCTTGGTTACAACGTGATCTGATGAGTGTTAAGGGGAACAGGATAAATACGCAGAAGTGTACACTTCATTATAGGTAAACTAGCAATGATAGGGATGGGTTAACTAACTCAGGACAAGATTTCTGTCATGCCCAACCAGTACCAATTATACTGGGTGGTGATGATTGAAGGTGAGGTGTAAATTTGGGCTGCAGCCGGATCCGAACCATCGACCAATAGGTTTTCAGCCCGATGCTCTACCAACTGAGCTATCAGGTCCGACTGCTGACCAGGTTTTTGTTTCACTTCAATTACCAAGGGTTTTTACCTGACTGCCATATAAATTCTTGACGCGTTACTATCTCTTGATCGTACTCACACTGACTGCCCAATCAAGACTTCTCATCTCAATTCAAATCTACTTGAATTAAAAAGGAGAGCATCATATTGGTTATGAGTTCGACTATCTGAGGTAGCCGCTTCACAAATTCACGTGGTTATTGGGTCTCATAGCTCAAGTGGTAAAGCACCGGGTTGGAAACCCGTTGGTTGACTGGTTCTGATCCCTCTGCGACCCAAATTTTTTTTTCAGCTTCAATTGTCGCTCAGTATCAATTCAAGTCTGCCAAACCACGGCTATCTCAGATAGTGAAACTAAATATCAATTATAACTAATGCTCTCGTTCTTACTATTTCTCTTCCTCCCTTTCACTGTGTATAATTTACTATTTTGAGCGTTGAATCTTTTCTTCCGCTTCTAGTCTTCTCAGTGTACTTGTAGAAGTACTATCAGGGCACCGCCGTGATATCCGCTTGTCTTTTAAGGGTCGCGTGTACCACACAGCAGTCCGCTCTATCCTACTGTACCGCCATGAGACATGGCCATTGAAGGTAGAAGACATGAGAAGGCTTCAAGTATTTGACCACCGTAGCCTTCGTAGTGTAGACCGTATTGCGTGGTGTCACCACATGAGTAACGCAGAAGTCAGACATATAGTTTTAGAGAGAAGAGGTAAGTCAGTTTATGATAGTGTTATGAACCTTCATGGACTGAGATGGTTGTCTGGGACACGTGTTACGTATGCCTAGTCGCCGATTGCCTCGTCACACAATGTTGGCCGATGTTAGTTCAAGCTAGAAAAAGACCCGAGGTGACATGACACCAATTTATGAAGCGTTTGACTGTTGGTTTGAGGCATGTGGGCCGATGGAGACTGTATGGTTGGGGTCTGGGGACAAGAAAAGCCAGTGGTTGGAGACTGATTCTAGATTATGTGGTTGAGAACCGATGTCAGTGGCGTCTATGTATCCCCACACACATTATCCTCATGTTAACGACGCCATGCCGAATCTCACCATTTTCTCATTCTCCCTTTTTCTCTTTTCGTACTTTATATTTCTTTTGACTGAATTTTCTTCTCTTCATCTTCCACTTCACTGCCTTTTTACTTGATGTAGTGATATGAGATGAGGTGTGGGAACTTGTACCGTAACTCAGTAATGCCTGGTCCTATGTTGATATTAATGATGATGATGAGAACTACTCTGTGTATATTCTTTGGCTACCCGATGTCTAGTTCTCGTACATTATTTATACGGTGTTGTGTTTTCGCATTTGTCTGAAAATCAAACACTACAAAGTTACTTATTTATCTCTTGTTATAATAGGAGCCGTTACAACCACTCCGTGATAATTTATCGTCTACAACCTATTCCATATTCGAAATGGATCCATATAAATACCAAGCATATGAGAATGTAAGTGACAAAACATATTTAACTTCATAGAAGTTTCATCATGTGATCTATTATCATTTTTATCCATTATACATAAATAAGCTCATCTTTCAACAGGTGTTGTAGTGTTTTGTCAGCGTCATGATGTTACGATGCGGAGTTGTAAGAATGAATGATAGTCTAGGGTTGAAATGGTTCAACTCGAGTGTTTTGCAGAGAGAGAGATCAAAAGACTGGTAATCAGCGGAGTTTATAGTATCTCAGACTGAAAATGTCTATTAGTAAAAATTGACCCTATATAGAGAGTTTACAGTAACCTTGAAAGGCAAGGAATAATTAGTACATTTAAAGAGGCAGAAGTGGATCAGAGCGCTAGCGGGAAAAAGAGCGCGAAGAAAAACAGTTCATATATATATATATATATATATATATATATATATATATATACAGGTTGTAAGTATGGACTATGAGGGATATAGGCATCCTTAACACGTCTGTTGTAGTACGCGTAGATAGTCCAATCCATCTACAGTATTCAGATATCTTCAGATACCAGAGAATCTGTTTAGTGTAGACACGTAAATAAGGATACTGTTCAGTGGGATTCATCATTTCACAATACACTTCGAACTCGTCCTGAATTGGATTATTACGTTACATTTAATACATAGGAAATGCATTTCAAACAGTCATGTGTTATCTGGAAGAATTATTTACATAATCTCTAGTTGAGAAAGGTTATTGTTTAATCCCTATCCGTCAATACGTTTATAATAAAGTAGAAACAGAAAACTGCAGAATCAAACATCTTCAGGCTCATAGCTATCAATTTTATAAACAGACATCAAGAATGAATGGGTGAATGGCTGACTGACAAAGAGCATAGTCATGAATATGTGTCTTCAGAATTGTCGATGTGCTTTAGTTTCCACACATTTTTATATTAAAATCTGTTTATCTATCTATCTATCTATCTATCTATCTATCTATCTATCTATCTAATCTATCTAATCTAATCTATCTATCTATCTTATTTTTAGGCAATTTATAAAGCTCTATATGATCGATCGTCCAAATATAAATCGGATACAATTACTGAACATATCCTAAATAACCAACCACAGTCTTATGGGCAACCCAACGGACTTCTTGATAACAATGATGCTAATGAATTCTACAACTATCAAGTTGTAATGGTGTTGGGTGCCGGTCGTGGTCCACTTGTCAATGCAACTATCAATGCTTCTAACAGAGCTCACTGTAAAGTGCGTATTTATGTAGTTGAAAAGAATCCAAATGCATTGTTCACATTACGTGTAAGTCTACTCGCATTTTCTTCTTACGAGTTCATTATTAAACTAGAATGAATGAACAAACGAGATCCATATGCACATTCGTACAGTAGGCTATGAGCTACACCTTGTTGTATGAAGGCTAGTGATACAGCTTGGCTGCCAAACCAAACGCTTGGTAGGTTGAACGGTGCTCAAACCTCTGACTCATTAATTGAAAACCAACTGGCTAAACTCATGAGCCACAGCTTTACTTTAAACTAGAATTGTGTAACATTGGACTTATAAATACTTGTTAGCAAGAATCTTATAGTTTCAAGGGTGATTTTTATAAGTTGACAGCTAGGTAAAGAGGTAGGTACTGGTGTTAGGTTTGATACAGGTGGAGTTGTGGCTAATTGGTTTACGGGTTGCGGGTTCGGACCATTATTATTATTATTTGTCCCTTGCGTTCGTAATGGAACATAGGGTTTCAGTAGCACGTCTCCAGTGCACTCTGTTCTCTACAATCTTTCGATCCTGGCTCCACGACAGCTCACAAGCTCTCATTTCTTTCTCATACGATCTCCTCTATGTCACCCTCAGCTGAGACGCCCAACTCGTCGACTGGCCTAGCGCATGTTGTCCCCAGTCGGCCTTCTCAGTGTATACCCAATCCATCTACACTTCCTTCCAGTGCATATTTGTTCAGCGATAGGTTCTTGCTTCGTTGGTTCGTTGCCAGTCAGCCAGAGTTCCTTGTTGCTTATTCTTATTATTCTGGCCATCTGATTTTCAGTAACGAGCCAGCGTAGGCAGCTGTTAATGAATGTCTGTAGTTTGTTGGAAACGCGTTTCGTAACGCGCCAAATTTCTGAACCATACAGAAGCAGTGACTTGATGTTGGTGTTGAAAATCTGGATCTTGTTCAGGCTTTATGCTGAGTGCAGAAGATCTCGACACTGGTTTCAGACTAATGGACGCCTGTCTTGCTTTTCCGATTCTGACTTTGACGTCCTCGTCTGTGCCGCCTGTAGTTGAAACAGTGCTGCCTAGATAGGTGAAAGAGGCTACTTCCTTTAAGTTTCTCCCATTGATAGTGATTGGAGCCTGTTGTTGTTGTTGGTTGGTTGGTTGGTTGGGTATCTTCATCACCTCTGTCTTCTCAATATTCACCTGAAGTCCCGCCTCCGCTGACCCGCCTCTTCTGTCAACTTGTTAGTTTTCGCCTGTAGAAATTCAAGTTTGTGTGACATTAGACACAGGTCATCAGCGAAGTCCAAATCTTCTAGGTTGTTTTCCGTGGTCCAGCGTATCCCCCTCTTCTCACTCCTCTCTGTTTGTTGCATGATCCAGTCGACCACAATCAGGAATATCATGGGTGATAGTAGATAGCCTTGTCTTACTCCCGTCTTCACTTCAAAGGCATCACTGAGCTGAGCTTCCCATTGTGAATTACTCGGTATGTGGCGTCTTCATATAGTTGTTGAATGAGGTTGATCAAGGTTTGTGTCACTAAAAGCATAGTGTTGAAGCAACTGCCGAATTACTTGTCGGTCGACGCTGTCAAAGGCCTTCTCAAGGTCGATGAAGTTGAGGTAGACAGATGACTGCTATTCTATGCTCTGTTCTATGATGATGTGTAGTGTAGCGTTGCGATTTGGTCCGCACATGATTTGTACTTCCTGGATCCAGCCTGTTTGAGTCGTAGTTTTGAATCCAGCGCATCCTTTAGTCTCTCCAGGGTGATGCGGCTTAATATTTTGCTTGGGGTGGACAAGAGTGGAGCATGATTCCTTGCCAGTTCTTGCAAAGACTTAGGTTGCCCTTGTTCAGGAGTTTGACTAGGTAGCTCTTCATCCAATCAATCGGCAGGTACCTTCCCTTCCTTCCGGACCTTCTGAAATAGTGGGGTGAACATGTCCGCTGTTGTCCCTGCGTCTGTTCTCAGTGCTTCTGGCGGAATTCCATCTGGTCCTACTGCTTTCCAGCACTTCAGTAGCTTTATGGAGCTCAGGACTTCGACTTTCGTTGGAGGGTTTGTGTTCACTTGTGATTCTGTGTCTGCAGGGGGGGGGGTATTTCTGGACGAGGTGCAGGCGGTGGTCGATTCAAGAGCTTTTCGAAGTGGTCAACCCATCGTTTTCGTTGTTTCTCTTCTTTGATAATTAGGTTTCCTTTGCTATCTCTCATTGATTTCATGTGTGTTGATCTCTTCCCAGATAGTAATCTGGTTATTTGATATAATGTTGTTAGGTCTCCGTCTTTCCTACCAGCAGCCTGTTCTGCTTCACTTGCCAGTGTGTCGTGGAAGTGTCTTTTGTCTTTGCGCGCACTCTTCTTCACTTCTTTGTCCAGTGTAGTGTTTTATACATTGTACCCAGTTCCTCTTCTCGTCTTTCATCCTTGCACTGGTTTATCTTCTGCTTCATCATCCTCCTCTCCCTGCTATATCAGCCTCCATGTGTCCATCGAGATCCATTCCTTATCTTCTTTCTTTCTGATACGGTTGTGCAGGTTTCTTTCCCCATCTCTTTCAAAGAGTTCCAGTGTTCATCCACACAGGTTTCTTCACGGATCTTGCTCGATATCTCCCATTTTGTCTTGATGGCTGACGTGAAGATTTCCTTTGTAGTTTTGTGCTTCAGTTTCTGTTGTGGGTGTTGAACTTGAACTGTGGTCTATCACCAACTTCCTTGAAGGCTTTCAACTTGATTTGGAAGGTTCCTTGCACTAGATAGTGAGAGGTGTGAACCTACATCTGCTCCCCTTCTTGACCTTGTGTCAAGTAGTCTGCATCTCCACTTTCTTGAGATTGAGATGAAGTTGATCTGATTTCTAGTGTGTCCTGGTGTCTGGTGAAATCGAATCCATGTCGCTTTGTGGATATCCTTGTGCTTGAACACAGTGCCTCGCCTCCAATCACCAAATCGTTGAATGCACAGAATTCTGCAAACAATTCTCCATTCTCGTTCATTTCACCGAGTGCTTCTCCACCCATGATATATGAGTTCTCTTCCTGTGTTGTCTGCTCCGAGTTTGTCGCCCATTAGAATTTCGATGTCGCCAACTGATGTCTTGTCCAGTGCTGATTGCAGTTGTCTGTAGAATTCCTCCTTCTTCTCTTCATCTGAATTATTTGTAGGTGCGTAGCATTGAGTGATTGTGACCTTCCTCCCTTTTGAGTTGAACCTTGCTGTTATGATCCTGCAGGTGGAGATTGGTTCCCACTGTATGAGCCTTCGATGTACTTGGGGACATCATGGTAGCCACTCCCTCAGTGTGCTCGTGGTCGTCGTCTGGGTGACAGTTTCGGAGTAGATTATTGACTCTCCAGTTGACAGTTTGGAGAGTCCACTTCCATTCCATCTGTTTTCTCAGATTCCTAGCACTTCAACGCTATACCTTCTCATCTCGTTTGCAATCCGGGCAACCTTGCTAGGTTCATACATGGTGCGGACATTCCATGTCCCCACGTTTACTTTCGCTTTCATCGAGGGAGAGAAGACACATCGGCCAATCGACTTCCCGAAGGCTTTCACCAACTGGCGTCATTTCGTCTCTCCAATTCCAGCGAGGAATAATTTTGTTATTATTTTTTGTATATTGTTTGTGCTCTGAAGTTTCTTTAGTGGTTTGATTGGTTTTCCGGGGTAGGGTTGCTAGCCCTGTGCCCAACCTTCCCTCTTTACCCGGGTTTAGGACCGGCTAGTAACTAGTGAATTAGTTAACCAGGCGAGGTTGGGTTCGGACCATGCTTCACCTAAAAAAAGTTCGGCTAACCTCACAATAAGTTTGCCTACTGCGGTAGCAACACCATGTAAGTAACTGAGGTTTTTCAGCATGATGGAGATGGTCATTCAATAAATGAAACCATCCAGAAATACCTTCTTCGGTGGCTTGAGCATGTGTTACGCATGTCGTCCCAACGGCCTCCATACCATCAATTGTTTACTAGCCCTAGGACTGGATGGAGGAAGTGGTGGAGTTGTCATTGTATAATCGGGCACAGTGGGATGAAGGACAGTTGTATCGGGTTAATATCCCTGGGTTGGGGTCTGAGAAATCACGCAACTTAGTGGCTCAAGACCTTGTTAGATATGGCTTGGAATCGAAACCAGTGGCGGTCATGCCGTAGCTTCCTTCTGTCTTCTGCTGACGAATGTACCTTACTTGTCTGCCCTTCTGATCATTCTATTCTCATTGTGGTTTTGTTCCTGTTCATCCACTTTCTTTCGCTTTATGTCTTCATAACGTTGTTATATTACTAAGTGTAGTGCATTTGTCGTGCCCTTGTTTGTGTTCTAATGGTAGTAATAACTATTGGACGAATATGCAGTAGGTTTTTGAATGTATCTAGAAGCACAATAGTATCACCTTGAAAGTAGCCCTACAGCTCAAACACTACCTACAGCAAGAAGAATGTAAAAGAAGGAAAGCAGAGCCTATGATGTTACTCGGTGAACATTAAGAGTAAGCAATAATGAGATATTCATGCACACAGATACCCCAGTGCAACTGGTCTTCAGCTGTTGAATGCCTAATAACGATAATGTTATCCTATACTTCTTAGCAGCCGCTTTCACCCCTTTATCAACACTAAGGTTGTTTAATATTTTAAAAAATGTTATTCTCAATTACATCTCCGTAGGATGAGTTGTGTACATCGACGGGTGTCTATCACACCTTTCCTCTGTTATTTGATTATGTCATAAATGTTTTTATGGAGATCCCGCTCTCTTTGGTTGACTTTGCAAGGGTTGATCTTTTCACACGAGAACTCCTAGTAGTAGACCTAGAGTATGCGAACGCCATAGTCATGTTAGGTGAAGACACTGACAAGATTTAGAGTCTTCTGGTCACCTCGAATGGCAATCTGAGAATGTTTAGGATACATTTCTTTCCATCTAAATGCAATTTACTGCTTCAGGACTGATCTTCGCGAATGCCTTGTTTAACAGTTAGGAATGAAGTAGTTAAGCGTGCCAACCACTTAGGAAGTCGAATCAACTCTGGTCCATAAGTGACCGACAAACGTTTTGCATGTAGATAACATTTCCGATTAGGTTTTGCCACCTTACACCATTTATGGCACCATGTAGCATGGCACGCATAGGTAGGCGCTAACTGAGCATGCGCAGTACATGTCCAAGCCATCTCAGTCGATGAAGGTTCGCAACCTTGTCAGTCGACCTGTCCGTCATACCTAGTACCCTTCGCCTGACTTCAACATTCCTCACACAATGATTCTACCAAACGCAAGCAGTGCTACGGAGATATCTGTGATCAAAATCCTGCAACCGTTTCATGTCTTCTACTTTCAACTACCATGTCCCAGAGCCATATGACGGGAAGGAATGGACTGTAGCGCAGCACACTCGTCTTTCGATAGATCGTAGGATATGTCGCCAGTCGGAGCCACAGACGAAGCAAGTTGGTAAATGCCAAACGGGCTTTCTGTATGCGCGCTGAGATTTCGTCAGTAACCAGGCCGTTTGGCGAGCTGATATAGCTCCCCAAGTAAGTGAAGTGGTCAAAGAACTCCACCAATTCGTATCACTTAGAGATGATGCCAAAGATTGTTGTACTGTTGAGGAATGTTCTTCCGCTACTAATCATCTGCAAAACTGTGCACTAAATATTACCCGTCAAGTTGTACATACTGATTATTAATCGATCAACTTGGTAATAATATTTAGTTGACAATGGGTTGTATTCTATTCCTTACAAAGTCTATTGTAATTTGTTCTTCTAATCATTGAATAGAGTGAGTTTTTTTAAAATTATTTTTAATCTCTGTTCCCCTGTTAATCAGTCAAGAATCAATAATGAATGGCGAGGTTTAGATGTACACTTGATTGAAGGTGATATGCGTGAATTCAAGACACCAGAAAAAGCTGATATATTTGTCAGTGAACTACTTGGTTCTTTCGGTGATAATGAACTAAGTCCAGAATGTTTAGATGGTGCACAGTCAATGTTGAAAGGTGAGTGGAAACGAAGTTCCCTGTTTTTGTTGTTGTTGAGATGAATCTTTTCCCCTTATTTTCAAGAAAACGTATCATTCATTAAGGAAATCTGTTCAGTGAGTTATTGTTCATAGTTCTACACTGATGTAACACGAATCAGCATCCTACTTTTCTCAGCTTGTATAATAAGCCATTATAAGTTGGGAAATAGCTAATTACACCTGGAAAGTACTGGTGTGTTGTTCATTTTAGTTTTAGGGTTATACAGTTATTGAAACTTTCAGATACAAAAGGCTCCGCTAGCTTTTGCCAGCTTACGTCACCTATGGCGCCGCCGTGATATCCGATTGTTTATTGAGGGTCGCGTATACTCCACAACAGTCCGGTCTATTCTACTGTATGGCTATGAACCATGGCCATTGAAGGTGGAAGACATGAGAAGGCTTCAGGTGTTTGACCACCATTGCCTTCGTAGTACAGACCGTATTCCGTGGTGTCACCACATGAGTAACGCAGAAGTCAGGTGTAGGTGTAGAGTATTACGAAGAAGAGTTAATTCAGTTTATGATGATGGTGTTGTGAACCTTAATGGACTGAGATGGTTGGCTGGGACATGTGTTATGCATGCCAAGTCACCGTCTGCTTCATCACATAATGTTGGTCGAAGTAGGTTGAGGCTGAAAAAAGACCCGAGGTGGTCAGACTGAAACATGGCATCAATGTATGAAGTCATTGACGATTGATTTGAGCCGTGTGGACCGATGCAGACTAGATGGTTGGGGTCTGAGGTACAAGAGGAACCAGTGGTTTGAGATTCTAGGCGATCGCATGGCTGAGAACCGATGTCAGTGGTGTCTATGTATCCCCACACACATTATCCTCATGTTAACGACGCCATGCCGAATCTCACCATTTTCTCATTCTCCCTTTTTCTCTTTTCGTACTTTATATTTCTTTTGACTGAATTTTCTTCTCTTCATCTTCCACTTCACTGCCTTTTTACTTGATGTAGTGATATGAGATGAGGTGTGGGAACTTGTACCGTAACTCAGTAATGCCTGGTCCTATGTTGATTTTGGTGATGACTAACAGGGGTTAACTGAAATAAGTTCTTCATGGTCAAATGAATATCGAGTTGGCGATATATTACATGTGTGCAGTTATTGATATATAGTGTTCAACTATATTCAGTTCTGATAATTGGGATACAGGGATAGATTAAGAAAGAAAGAGTGTCTAATTGCTGTGATGTAGAATTTTCATAACTAGTTTCTATTTAATTACTGGAGGCAATCGGCAGAATTTTGTCACTGGTGTCATACAAGCACGAAACTGAGGTGCAGAGTGATCGCCTGGAAACAGCTAATAGTAATAACCAAAGTGTACAATGATGATGTCTTCTAGTAAGCTGACTGTATTGTAGGAATGATCGGTTGAACTTAGAACTCTAGGCAGTATGAAATTGGTTACACCCTAGTGATCAGTCAAGTTAGACTTAGTTTTTTGGTATGTACTCCTGTTTCTAGGTAACCGGACAGCGGTAAAGAAAGTATAACATTAGTTTTGCTTGACCGATTCTACCATATGAAAAGTATCAAATTTTTATTCGTCTCCATACCCGATAATATCACTTACTTGGGAAGTTGCATCAGCTCGCCAAACAGCCTAGATGTTTACGAAATCTCAGCTGGAATACAGAAGCCCCACCTGACATTTACCAACTTACGTCATCTGTGGCACCGACTGGCGAGATATCTGACTATTTATCAAAGGACGAGTTTACTGCTCTGCAGTCCGTTCTGTCTTGTTGTACACCCGTGAGATATGGCCGTTGAAAGTAGAAGACAGGAAGCGGTTACAGGATAGTGATCAAAAATATTTTCATACCATTGCTCGTGTTTGTCGGAATAACACCACCATGTGAGCAATGTTGAATTCAAACGAAGGGTAGTAGGCAAGATGGTAGATGAGGTTTTGAACCTTCATTCGCTGAGACTGCTTGGGCATGTGCTGCGCATGGCGAGGTACCACCTACCTCGACATGCCATACTACCGGAAGCCGGATTAGTTTGAAAGAGGGTTCATCAGGTTGACTAGACAAAGATGTGGCGTCAAGCCGATGAAGTGCCTGACTGTTGACGTGAGTAGTATGGGGCAATGTAGACATCTTTGAAAGCTTGCATATTTTGGCTTACCCTTATTTTCATATCCCCTCTCCTTCCATACATCTTTGTGTACTTTGATATGTCTTTCCTATCCGCTTTTTCGTTGTATACTACTGTGAAGTGTGGCAACTCGAACCAATGCACTTGTGCGCGAGATTCTACGTTGGTTTTGTAGGTCAGTCAGTCCCCGTACCACCTGAATATTATATACTTATTTTTATATGGGTTTCATCATCAGCAATCATTGCATTCTACCAAATTAAAAGCTTCCTCTCCCTTGCATTGATGGGTATTATTACAGTCTATTGGATTCGCTGATGATAAGTTGACTTGCATAGCTTGTCTTTAGCGACGTTTAAGTGTTTGACTTTTACACTGTGAAGTTTTTAATTATTCCTGTAACTTTATGTTTTTCCTTCAGATGATGGAATCAGTATCCCATGTTCATATACATCATACGTAGCTCCTCTACAGTCTCTACAAGTATACAATGAAACTAAGAGATCCAAAGATGTGGTAAGATTTTTTATCTTTTAGGTGTTTTTTTCTCTCTGCAGTGTGTTAAAAAAAATCCCATGCTATCCTTGAAAGCAGTTTGTTTTGCTAAGCAGATGAGAACTATGAACGTACGATATCTGATGCTTGAAACGAAATGCAGTTGGCTGGTATTAAGGTGTAGTTGATATACGTATTAAAATTTTCGAACTATCTAGTGAAATAGTGTTATTATTTGTATTATACCATCGCTGGTTGGACCGAATTGATCGGTCTCTATTAACATATGGGCTCCTGTGCGGATGCCTCGATATTGCCTTCCTTTTAATTATGTATATTAATGATAGTGTTGTGATGCCCCAGTTTTGTATAAAACATTGTTATTGATCTGAACATTTTAACGTGTCGTTCCCACACCATTTTTTACGGTATGACTACTAGTCTATTCTCTGCCCCCATTGAAATGTAAATCGCTGATTGCAAATATCTCAAATTGAGGACGCTCATTTTTCATGTGTATACTTATTCACGTGTTTTGGGATTGATTATCATATCATATTATCGGAGTAATAAACTCTCCCATCATCCAACTTCGGTCTTTTCTCTATTCGTCCCGGGGTTGCAGTCAGTGGCTCTTGCGTACTAAGCTGTCAGCTAAGCGCGCGTATTATATTCGTTCGGAATATATATAACTATTAGCATTCGAAAATATAATAGATAGATAGTGGCTCGGTGGTCTAGTGGATAATGCTCTGGAATTTCAAGCAACCGGTCTCGAGTTCAAACCCCCTGCGGGAACTGCATCACTCACTGGGAGGCAGGTACATCCAGCTGACGTGCCCCAAACAGGAAAAAACGCATGTTCTGGATCCCACTGCTATCCAGTATCTATCATTAATATTTAGTGAATTATGTTTTGAAATTGTATGCTTGAATGCGTGTGGCATGCACAGTCAGTCCTGGAAACTTCTACTCACTTTATCGGTAACCTCAAGAGCATATGATTGATTGCAATTTGTGGTCCGGCGCAGTAACAGATAGACAAACAAAATCAGTGTAGTACCTTGCACATAGGTGAATCGGTTCAAGTTGCTACAGTTTATAGTAGTAGACAAAGAACAGGTTAATAAAAAAAGATTGATATCAAAGTAGATGAAGTTGCGTAGAAGGTTAGTGCAAATATACAAGCTTTGAAAGACGTCAAGGAGTGAATATATCTGCGCCATTGTCATCGATTTCCAGCCATATCACCAAGAGTCCTCAACCACTCATTCCCGTAATCTCAGCCCGTCAATCTACATCTCCACACACGACTCAGACTAACAGTTAGGGACTTTATCGACTGATGCCACGTCTGGATCTGGCCACCCCACACCCTCTTACAACCTAATCAAACTTCTGGCGACATAGCACGTCGAGGTAGTGGGTGGCTTGGCGTACGGAAAACATATCTAAGCCATCTCAGTAGACTAAGGTTCATAACTTTATCAGTCGACTTACCCGTCTTACTTAGTACCTTTCAATTGACCTCAGTAGAATGAAAGTTTCGTATTTTTAGGTTAACATCAGTTAGTCTGTCATGATTTGGAAAGGCTGTACGAGGCATGAAGTAAGACACAACATGTAAATCATAATGCAACTCAGCTCGGTACACATTTATGTTCTAGGCAGTGAATGAAAATTTCCGTGGAATCACGTTTCAACTCTCGAAGCTATTTTTTCTTCAAAATTATATTCTGTAGGCAATAAAACTTTTATTTAAAATATTGGAAGTGATTTGATATCATTCGAAAACACAAAACATTCACATAGTTCCAGAAAAAGAAAACTGATCTTGAATAATAGAAACTGAAAGAAGAGATAATCAACCGTGTTTATTTTGCTTTTCGGTCGATAAAAAACAGGAATGCTGTTGATGAATATCATGCAAAATTTACACACTGGAAAATAATCTTCACGAAATCCGATTCATTTATAATTGTTCATGTTCTCTGTTTGCCATTATCACAAGATTAATCTGAAGTGTTACCTTCAGGTGACTTTATGTTCCTAAGATACAAACCTATCAAGTCCCTAACTGTCGGTTTCCGAGACAATAGGAATTAGTGGCTGACGACTCTTGGTGACATGTTTAAAGATCGGTTACAATGATGTAGATAATATTAACTCTTTCATGTCTTCTAAAGCTTGGATGTTTCCACTAATCTCAAGTTTCAGATCTCCTTTCCTTCTATATACCTTTGTCTACTCTGATGTCAATCCTTTTAAATCCACTTTTGCTTTGTATACTATTGTGCAATGTAGCAACTTCAATCGATCCATTTGTGTGTGAGAGAGAGAGGTTATACACTGATTTCCTCTGATACAGGAAGGTTTCAGAATCGCTGTTATCCTAACTAGCTTATCATTCTTAGTTTTCCGGTGAATTTATTCTATAGTAGTTAGTTGTTTTCTATCGATTTATTGAGTTGAATTACTTATTGCCTACTAATTTGTTTTTTGATACTGTAGACAAACAGAGTTGGTTTCTCTATGGAAACACCTTATGTGGTTCGACTTCGTAACTGTCAAATATTAGCTTCACCTCAAGTAGCTTTTGTATTTGAGCATCCAAAAAAAGGTAAGTTAGTAATTATTGGAAGCAAGAAATGTTTCTTTTTCTTCACCTTATCTATAATGTTTTATGTGTTGTTTTTTATAGACTTTAGGATCAAAGTTTGACCTGACGAAGTTGAATAAGTTGAGCATATTAGTTAGATGGTTTATCAATGAAATATATTTGTAAAATCTCTTCAATAAGGTAGAAAAAATTTCTAAAGTTTCTCCACATCATGGAAGTTGTTTGCTTTTTTTGAGAATAAAACCAGTAAAAGTTATTAAATAGTGAATGGCGATAAATCAGATCACTTTGTTCATATATAATATTAGTTCATCAGTTAAAGGAGGTGTGAAAAAAACATCATGGATGACAAGCTCAGTTTGTGTGTGTACTTTGGTTATGATTATTGTGTTTAACATGTAATTTCGGATAATGAGACCTTCCTTTCTGTATTTTTGAGATGAATGGGGATTTTTAATTTAGAGGTAGTATTCATCATAGACTGACATCAGTTGGGGAACTATTGAAAATCTGGGAGCAATGGACAGCTGTTTCGTCCTCGTACGGGATGCCTCGGCAATATACACACACGACCCCACTAGGGGTCGAACCCAGGATTCACGTCGAATGCGTTAACCACTGGGACGGTTTTCAATGGTTCACAGTTTCCAATATCTGTCAATTCATGATGTAGCATGACTATCACCCAAGGTCTTCAGTTGGCATCCTCTTCCTTTCCGACTGGTTGACCCCACAGGTCACGGCTTCTCATTATTGGCTAAATGGTTAACGCGTTCGCCGTGAAACCCTGAAGTCCTGGGTTCGAAACCTTCTTTTCTTTTGAGTACACTAGGACCCAACATAATGTGAAATACCTTTTAGTTTGCAAAACCCTTTTGAATATTTTCAATATCAATTTAATGACTATGATAGATGGCATAATCAGCAATCGACGATTTGATGTGTAAATTCTTTTCTAAGCTCTACAGAATTATATGAAGGTCGTTTTGTATGGCTTGCATGTTCTTCAGAAGGTATGTGGATCTCACGAAAGAATTCCCTATATCACAACTGACACAATCTAACCTGTGTGGGCACAATTCTTTGTGAATGTAGAAAAGAATTCTATCTTTTAAGTGAACTAAAGCATGTTGCATATTTTTACCGCAGTTTGGGATATTAAACGTTGATTGGTCCATTTTACACTTCATATGCTATTTTGTTTTCTCTGACCAAGGCCATCTAAAGACATATAAACGACTGAGTTTTCACCTATAATGATATGGTCGGAGTAAATAAACTTTCAATCCCATCGTCTTCTTCTGGCGATCAGCTGAATATCGAGTTGAGATGTCATTGTTCTATCGCTAATCGTATCGTCTCGGAGCATTGTATCGTTATTTATAGCGTGGATCATAACATGATTGTCTTGTCAGTGTTTTATCAAAATACTTTATTACTTTTCAGTTGTACTTTTTAAAACATTATTTTTTTGTAGACTTAACTGAATCAAATGCACGTGAAGTATGCTGTAAATTTGATATTCCACAAGATTCTGTTATACATGGTATTGCTGGCTATTTTGAAGCAGTCCTTTACAAGGATATAACACTGAGTAAGTTTATAACCTATTTGCTTCCATCTTCCTTTTACAATTATTCATCAAAGTGGAGAAAGTAAGCAAAGGGACTCCCACACACATATGAGAAACTGAACGCAGAGAAAATCAACGTAGAACCTTGCACAAAGGTGTATCGGCCCAAGTTGCCAGACTCCACAGTAAAACAGGTGGACAGAAAAAGATGGATATCAAAGTAGATAAAAATGTATGACAGAATAAACAATTTGAAGATAACGGCTATTGTAAATAATCAAGCTTTGGAAGACGTCAAAGAGAGAATAATTTCGGGCCATTGTGATCCGTTTTCAGCCATGTCACCAACTACTGATTCCTTTCGTCTCAGGGATTCCAGACAGTCCACATCTCTGCACACAACTCAAACCAGCAGTAAGAGACTTCTTGGTCTCGCCACCCTGAACTATCTTCCAACCTAATCCACCTTCCCCATAGCAAAGCACGTCAAAATAAGCGGTGACTTGGCATGCGCAGTATGTGTACAGACCATCTCAGTGGTCTTAGGTTCGCAACCTTATCGACTGACTTGCCGATCTAGCCTAGTACGCTTCATCTGACCTCAACAATGCACACATGTTGATACTACCAAAGGTAAGCAATGCTTCAAAAACACACCGCCTAATCAACGAATGGATAGTGAAGTAATGAATGATAAGAATCTAACAAAACAGTACAATAACGCAGCTACATACCAATCAATTCATGAGAGTCTTTCAGAGTAATTCAATTTGGAGGTTTGTAGGATTTATTTATAGATTTCACGCTGGTACTCATCATGGACTGACATCAGTTGGAGAAACATGGGAGCACTAGATAACTGTTTCGTCCTAGCATGTGACTCCTCAGCAGTGCGCACGCATGACCTCGCCCCGCCAGGCATCGGACCCAGGGCCTTCAGCTCCCGTTGCTAGCGCGTTACCATTAAGCTACTGGGTCGGAATCCAATGGTCCATATTTCCTACTTCTGTTAGTTCACGACATAGTATGACCATCACCCAATGTCATCTTCGACTCCAGGTTTCTAATGTTCCTCAAATTGATGTCAGTCCGTGATGAATACCAACTTGGAAAATCACTAAATCCCAACAAACCTTTGAATTTCTAGATAAACTCAGCATAAAAAACAAGATCCAGATTTTCAACACTAAGTCAGTGCTTCTATGTGATGGTTCAGTAACTTGGCGCCTTACGAAAAACATTCCCAACAAACTGCGCACATGCATCAACAGCTGTCACCTACGCTCACTCGATACTGAAGATCAGATGACCAGGAAGAATAAGCAACTAGAAACTCACTGTGGCGACCGACCAACCGACCGAAAACCCATCGCCCAACAAATCTGCAGAAGAAAGTGGAGATAGATTGGATTGGAGATATACTGAGAAGACCGTTTGGCGACATAACACCCCAGGCCCTCAAGTCGGACCCAGATGGAAAACGACGAGTTGGGCATCCCAGCTGAGTTGACATGGAGGAGATAGTGTGAGGAAGAAATGAAAGCTTATGAGGAGTCGTGGAGCCAGGTAAAAAAGACTATAGACAAGAGAGTGGAATAGCGACGTGCTACTGAAGCCGTATGTTCCGCTAGGAATCCAAAGGACAAATAATAATAATGATCACCTGATTCCCTTCAACCAACTAAACCATTCATCAGTGTGCACCATGATGGTAAACCGCCTAGGTAGGTCATCATCATCATCATTATCAACATAGGACCAGGCATTACTGCGTAACGGTCCGAGTTGCCACACCTCATATCAGCACATCAAGTAAAAAGGTAGTGAGGTGAAGGATGAAGATAAGTGAATGCAGTCAAAAGAAATATAAAGTACGAGAAGAAAGGAAAGAGGAGTGACAAAATAGTGAGATTCGGTATAGCGTTGTTAAGATGAGGATAATGTGTGTATACATCTGCGCCACTGACTTCGGTTCTGAGCCATATCACCTAGGGTCTCCAACCACTGGTTCCTCTTGTCCCGTGGACCCCAACCACCTAGTCTGCATCGTCCTACATGGCTTAAACCAACAGTCAGAGACTTCATACATTGGTGCCATGTTTTAGTCTGGCCACCTCGGGCCTTTTTCCAGCCTGAACCCACCTCAGCCAACATTGTGTGACGAGGCAATCGGTGACTAGGCATACGTAGTACGTGTCCCAACCATCTCAGTCGATGAAGGTTCACAACCTCGTCGACTGACTTACCTCTTCTCCCAAAACTCTACACCTAACTTCTGCATTACTCACATGGTGACACCACGGAATACGTCCTATACTACGAAGGCAACGGTGGTCAAACACCTGAACCTTTTGTATCTCCACTTTCAATGGCCATGTTTCACAGCCATACAGTAGAACAGAGCGGACTGCTGTGCAGTACACGCGACCCTTAATAGACAAACGAATATCACGGCGGCGCCATAGGTGGCGCAAATTGGCAAAAGCCAATCGAGCCTTTTGTATCCGTGCAGAAATCTCATCGGCAACTAACCCACCGGGTTGATCCTACTTCCCAGGTAAGTGAAGTGGTCAACACACTCAACCACTTCACTCTCTATTGTTAACCGCGGTACCGCTGAAGACCAGTCCTGGAGCAAAAATTTGCATTTGGGTGGTGAAAATCGCATCCCAAACATTCTCAAATTCCCACTCAAAGTGTTCAGAAGACTCTGCATCTTGTCAGCGTCTTCACCTAACAGGACTATGTCATCTGCATATTCTAGATCTAAGGAAAATTCACCTGTGATCGGTCAACGTCTTGTAATTAGGTGACGAGAGGGAAACCTCCATAAGAATATCTATGATAAAATTAAATAAGAATGGGGATAGTGGGCATCCTTGACGGACACCACTTGATGAGTATAGCTCCCTGGACAACTCACCATAGGCTCTAACATGCCCACAAGTGTTCGAGTAGAGAGCTTTCAATAAGGTGATGTACTTACTAGGCACGCCTTTCAGTGACAGACACTGCCATAAGACTTCTCGATCAACGGAGTCAAATGCCGCCTTCAGGTCGAGAAATACAGCTATTGTCGGGCGTCTGTAAGCATGCCTATGTTCCAGGACCTGGCGCAGTGTGAATATTTGGTCGATACATCCACGGCCAGGTCTAAAGCCTGCCTGGTTTTCTCGGGCTTGCTGTTCCCGAGCTCCACTCAGGCGTCGGAGAATTATAGAACTTAGGATCTTAGACACTATGTTTGTCAGGCTGATTCCTCTGTGGTTATCACAAGAGGACTTCTCGCCTTTCTTGAAGACTGGGATGATGAGTGACTTAGACCAGTCGGAGGGGATCGTATTTGATTCCCATATACTGGCTAACACTTCCGTTAGCCTGACTAAGAGAACTCTACCACCATTCTTGTATACCTCAGCAGGTAGTCCGTCTGGTCCTGCTGCCCTTCCCCGTTTCAGGCTACCTACCGCTTTCTCAACTTCTTCTAGTGTTGGGGGACCTGTCTCTATGTCCCATTCAGGGTCCGACTGGATAGCGGGCAGCGCAATGGTGGCTGGAGGCCAGTTAAACTGTTCCTCAAAGTGTTCTGCCCATCGTCCCAGTCGCCTTCCCTGCGAGTGAATCGCAGATCCGTCCTTCTCCGCTATAACCTCACTAACTGTTGTTGACCATTTCCCCCCAGTCTCCTTAATAAGTCTAAATAACTGTCTACTGTTACCGATCGCCGCTGCCTTTTCCATCTCTTTAGCCTTTGCTGCCCACCACTGTTCACGATCGTTGCGCAGACTTTTCGTCAGTTATTTTTAAGTTGCGCTCGCTCTTCATTGTACTCAGAGCCTGCAGGGATGCATTCACGTGCATCCATTAGTTTGGAAGAAGCTGCTGATATCCACTGGCTCTTTTTAGCCATTATCTTGGAGTCGGCTACAGTCTCCAGTGCTGCTTTTACAGTAGACTGAAGATGGCACCAAGCTTCTTCTGGATGAGTGACAGTCTTTTGTTCCGATAACTGCCTAGCCAACTTCTCACTGAACACGGCTTTGGTGTTTTCGTTGTCCAGCAGAACTCGTAGTGGTTTTGTTGCCAAATTTTTTCTACGTCCATTGAGACGCAGGCATATACGTGCTCGGACCAACGCATGATCGCTGTCCAAACACGTACTCCAGAAGGAGCGGCAGTCTTCCACCGATCCTCTCCAGCGATGACTAATAGCAATGTGGTCTATCTGTGTCCATCGCTGAGTCGAGCTCGGTGGACGCCAGGTCAGACAGTGCCTTTCTTTATGTCTGAAATTTGTGCTGGCTAAAAATAGGCGGTTATCTGAGCATAGTTGTAATAGGCGATCACCGTTATCTGTACGTTCAGCTGGGATTCCGAAAGTGCCACCTAAGTGCCTTTCTGCCTCACTCAGTCTACCCACCTGTGCGTTGAGGTCACCTGCAACAACCACTACGTCCGAACGTTTGGCTTTCGAGAGGAGGTTAGACAGTTTATGGTAGAACTCGTCCTTCACTTCATCCGAACTACAGTCAGTGGGTGCGTAAGCAGAGATTACAAAGAGACAACGGCGAGTCTCACTATTCCTTTTAGTTCTCACTGTGCCGTTCAGCCTCATAGCGCAGAGGCGACTATCAACTGGGATCCAGTCTAGTAGTGAGTTTTCTGCCCTGGTGCTTAATGCTATACCTACACCTGCAAGACCACGAGAGCTAGCTATCGAATCTCCAGAAACTCGAAGGGTGAATTTTGCGGATTCACCAGATTGGTCAGGTGAATAACCACACTTGGGTCCTGTATGCGTGTCTCACAAACACAGCACACATCCATGCCCGAGTTGCTAGAGTCTTTGCCAACGAAGCCTGTTGGCCAATTTGACGGAGGGTGCGGACATTGAAGGCTCCAATATGTAATTTGGAGCGTGGTTTAAGGAGACCAGGGATGCTGTTCTGTGGACTCAGATCGTTGTCGAAGGCTGCAGAGGTAGGAGAAATTGAAGATGATGCAGCATCATTAATTAAGAGACGTGAAGGAAGATTAGAAGGTAATGATGGAGGAGGAGGATAGCAGTCAGAAGAAACTTGGGTGCTGACAGAGTTGTGAGGGCGGTTGACACTTCCCGGCTGCCCACACCGTGGAAGGGCCTAGGCAGGTGGGCATAATGCAAAATGATCAACAGAATTCGGTCATCACTCGCAACTAGATAGAATAAAATATACTTGCTATCCAGTGATCAATCAAATGAAGCACCGACGACGTCTTACATGACATTGAAGCGTTTACTAATTAGACCTGTAGTTCAGCGGACAACTCACTCACAGTTAATTTATAAATATTCAGATCTTAGTGGTAAAATACAATTTTCTCAGTCCATTTTTCAACTTTTAGGTATACATCCTGAAAGACATAGCCCTCAAATGGTATCTTGGTTTCCATTGGTTTTTCCCTTCGAACATCCAATTCACATTCATTCTGGTAGTCGCGTAACTTTGTATATGTGGCGTCTTGTAAGCAGTCGATGTGTTTGGTATGAATGGGTTTTAACAGAACCACGTCCAACAAAAATTCATAATTCAGCTGGTCATGCCTACAAAATAGCACTCTGATGACCCACTGACACACGTGTTATACTTTGTGTGCACCACAATCTGTTTTTGTATATACGTGCATTGATTACTTGTCATTAAATACAACATTGTTTTCGGATCAAAAATCTGTTTTTTTCTTCAGAGTTTTGACAATGGTTGACACTTCCCTGCTACCCACACCGTGGAAGGCTATATCTTCTTAAGGCACCTGAAAGAGATTTGTGTGACCACAAAGCCCGTCGGACATCTGCTTAGGGCCTGTTACACGCAGCCTTTTGTGTGTGGTCATTTCGAAATTTTGTTTTAGGGCCGGATGATCGAAAAGAAATGACAAGTCAACCAACACCGCCGATCCGACAGACCATGGAGTGTGTTATTTTTGGGGCCGACTTAAACCCCCTTTTCACTGGCTCATTGGCCGATGCAATCTCTGCACAGACACAAAAGGCTTGACTAGCTTCTGCCACCGTGAAATACTGTTGTCTATTAAGGGTCGAGTGTACTCCACAACAGTCCGGTCTGTTCTACTGTATGGCTATGAACCATGGCCATTGAAGGTGGAAGACATGAGAAGGCTTCAGGTGTTTGACCACCGTTGCCTTCGTAGTACAGACCGTATTGCCTGGTGTCACCACATAAGTAACACAGAAGTCAGGTGTAGGTGTAGAGTATTACGAAGAAGAGTTAATTCAGTTTATGATGATGGTGTTGTGAACCTTAATGGACTGAGATGGTTGGCTGGGACATGTGTTATGCATGCCAAGTCACCGTCTGCTTCATCACATAATGTTGGTCGAAGTAGGTTGAGGCTGAAAAAAGACCCGAGGTGGTCAGACTGAAACATGGCATCAATGTATGAAGTCATTGACGATTGATTTGAGCCGTGTGGACCGATGCAGACTAGATGGTTGGGGTCTGAGGTACAAGAGGAACCAGTGGTTTGAGATTCTAGGCGATCGCATGGCTGAGAACCGATGTCAGTGGTGTCTATGTATCCCCACACACATTATCCTCATGTTAACGACGCCATGCCGAATCTCACCATTTTCTCATTCTCCCTTTTTCTCTTTTCGTACTTTATATTTCTTTTGACTGAATTTTCTTCTCTTCATCTTCCACTTCACTGCCTTTTTACTTGATGTAGTGATATGAGATGAGGTGTGGGAACTTGTACCGTAACTCAGTAATCCCTGATCTTATTTTGATTTGAATGGATGGTTTCTTTTCTTCAGTGTGTTCTTCCAATGGTAAGCACCGAGTGTAATAAGACGTAGGTAATGACGATACTGAACGCAGTGATACACTGGAACTGAATGCGTACATGAATATTCCCCCTTCCGCGCCTTATTCTTCACTGAGCCACGCAAATATCAAAAGATAAAGACTGAACTGTGACTGTAATGACAACTTAATTTGATAAACTACAGCATATATATAAAATTTCCACACACCTAAAAATGTCCTAGGCCAAAGATAGAATAACAGTCTTATTGGCTACATCACATACGAAATCGTCCAATGAGGTTGTTTTGTCAAAATCTGAAACAAACACTTCTACCTCAACAGCAGATTACTTGAAATAGCAGCTTCCTAACACCTCCCTCCTGTAAACGTATGTCTTCTTTCTTGGGTCAATTCGAAACACTTGGTGTTATTCTTTGTCGAAGTGATCTTGGAGCTGGAACCAGCTGGATGTAATCCGCTTCTTGTATTTCTATCCAGTAAAACCTCAAGCATGAAGTTCAGCTCCTTACTATCTGCTGAATCTCGTATATGGTTCACATGTTGGACCCAAGTCTTTCCTTCCACATTCACGTTGTACAAGATATTTCCTTTACGTCCGACTACCTGCTTACAAATCCATTTTGGTGGTGAAAATCAAGTGAATTCTCGATGAATGGCCTCATAGTGGCGATTGAACTGGTTTTCTATTTTCGTGTTCCTTTTCATATTTTGTGTTCGCTTAGGCTTAATTGCATCCAGAATGGTTTTGACTTTTCGATCAAATATGATTTCTGATGGTGATGGCTAAAGGATTCGACATCTTGCAGTAAGGCGTCAAAAATTTCTTCTATCTTTTCCTCCACCTTTGCCTTTTGGATCGCTCATTTGAAGGTATCAACGAAGCGTTCTGCTTGATCATTGGATTGAGCATGATATGGAGGGGCGCGAATATGTTGAATACAAAACTGATGGCGAAATTATGAGAATGCGGATGACGCAAAGTGAGTTCCGTTATCCCTCATCAAAATATCAGAGATTTCAAACTGGCGAAATAATTTACGCAGCTGTCTCACTGTTGAATTTAACGTAATACACTGCATAGGATTAACTTCTGGCCATTTAGAATATCCATCAACATATATCAAGAAATGTATACTACTAAGTGGTCCAGCAATGTCGAAATTCGTTGGTACCGGCCAAGAACACACAGTCCTGTCTTACGTGGGTATTTAGATGCTTGTACACATTTATTGCATTGCCGAACAATATCACTGATATATTTATCAATATTGGACCAGTATACAAAACTGCGAGCGGTCGATTTCATCTTTCCCACAGCAGGATGCGGCGAATAAAGCTGACGGAGGATATATCTGTGGAGACTAACCGAAATCACTACACGATCGACAAACACTATACAGTCTTTGATAATAGATTACGATTGACGTCGTTAGTTCATGAGAATGAACATACGAGGGTCAGCCATATCGGATAAAGTTTGAAACTTGCTGCGGAAATGGATCACGATCTACAGTCGCTGGAAGTAGTTGAGTAGTGTATACAAGAAGTCTGTTTACATTTTCAACGGTGATTGATGGCATCTTCTTATCAAAGTGACAAACGGCTGTATTATAAGCAAGATATTATTGGTTTTAAAGAGCTTTGTCTTTCCAAGTGCCATTCAATTATGCAGGCGCCTGTCTCTCCACTTTATTAAATCAGTGGTAAAGTTAGGTAATGAAAATTCCCTCAAGAATGATGAATTTGTTGAACTTTTTCTTCTTTAAAATCGACTGACGCCACATCCTTATTCCGTGTCGAGTCAGTTACGCTTCGTCATATTGGAGTAAAATATTTATACAACGATAATTTATTTCTTCATACAAGTCTATTTTTTCTCATTTAATCAAATACAAAGTATCAATCTGAGCCTTTATACAGACTTTAATGGAGTTAGTTAAATATAAAAAACACATGGTTCTCGAGGTTGATATGAACATGTAGGTTGTCTGGAAGAATTCTACAAGGTTGATGGCAGGATTAGTGATCGTGACTGGCTGCTTTTTAAAACATGCCCAGCCTATTCCAAGAGGAAGCGTTTGGACCGGCAGAAAATGATAATTGTGTAGTACTTGGCCTTTGTAGTACAGGTTGTGCTATGATACCTCCGCGTCAGTAGTAATGGAGAAGTCAAACGTAGAGTGAGGTTGTGAACCATCATCGAGTCACGTGGCTGGAATATGTGCCTGGTCACCATCTACCTCATTGCATAATGCTAGCTAGGGTAAGTATTAACTGAAAAAGGTTACAGGCTGCAGACTAAAACATGACATCAGTCAACGAAGTCTTAATACCGCCCTGAGTCGCATTGGCAGGTGTCAGACAGACACAATCAACGTAGAACTTTGCATACAAATGAATCGGTTCAAGTTGACACATTTCACAATAGCATGCAACGAACAAGTTGTGTGGAAGACTAAGCAGTTTGATGATAACGGTCAGTACAAATATTCAAGATGTAGATGTCAAGGAGTGGAAACACCTGCGCCATTGTCATGAACCGATTTTCTTCCATGTCATTAAGAATCCTCAACTACTGATTCCTATTGTCACGACAACCCCAGCCAGGTAGCGTATGCCTCCGTATACGGATCAGACAAACAATCAGAGACCTCATCAACTGGTGCCACGTCTTCGTCTAGCCATGTGGTACCCCCTTCTCCTAGTATGGTACATCGAAGTAGACGGTGGCTAAGTATGTGTAGTACATGTCTACAGCATCTCAGTTGACTAAAGTTCACAAACTCATCAACCAGCTGGGTTTGTGTGACAGCCGAAATCAACGGTTGGACACTAGGTAATAAGGCAAGGAGTCGATCCTTAGTGGCATAAATGCATCCACATATTATCTTTGCCTTAATCGTCATGTGGGATTCATCATACTGAATTTTGTTAGTTTCATTCCGTCGTTTCTTCATGTGACTTTTTATCACTTGGTTACTTCTTACCTTATCTATTGATCTTTCTTCTTGATGTGCCCCCTTTCTGACTGAATGTGAAGTGTGGTCTACCTACTGAGTCCGTTCGTTTATTATTGTGATATGCTTACTATCCACCAGAAAGGAAACTCGTTCGACTACTTATCTAACGGGGGTCGAAGAATGGTGATGTGACGTCATGGGAAGAAGTCAACATTAAACCAAAGATTGTACAGCCCGTAGTGATCCAATTGAACCCAGAAGACTGAATATATTTTACGCCTAGACAAAGATACACTTATCAAAGAATTAAGATTTCATAAATGACTTACTGTGGCGTGGTCATAGACTTTTGAGCAGGTCTTCCTTCAGTTTCGATTCCACCACTAAATGATATAGGCGTGTTACGAATTCGACAGTATTCATTCACATTCAGGCAAGAATCTACCAGCTCTATCGAACCACGTATTTATGTCCAATGTGCAGTGAGTGGTGCGTTTGTAGTTCTAGAAACAGTCCTCCGTAAGGACTTCTTAAAGATAATAAATATTGACTCGTTATATAACAAATTCGCATGTGAATATTGAAGTCTAAGTTTACCAAACTATCGTTTACCAACACATTCCAATGAAATATTTTGATTCCAACTAAGTGCTAAACATTTCCTTGCTTTGAACAAATTCGGTATTGATCATGAACTGACATCAGCTGGAGGAACATTAGAAACCTGGTAGCAATGGACAGCTGTTTCTCTTGGTTGTATTGTGTTCTCTCAGCTGGGTTGTTTAATCGATAAAACAACCCAGCTCAGAGAAC